AACCAGCCTGATGCTAAACTAGTTTCAACATTCATCTACTTATAACTGAGGGGGTTTCAAGGATAAACAAGGGTAACTGTGTTTTGCAACACAACAAAGAGCATTCTTTCTGGAGTTGTGACTACTCAGTACTGCTGACATTTTATTTACACTAAAACAATACCTTCATGATGTTTAACAGACTGTTTTAGCATAGTCACTTCTGTCTTAATGAAGGCTCTTGCTTTGCCAGCATACGAAGCCCACGCAGTATTTGTTAGTGCCATCAAGACGGACTTTTTGAAGATTTCTTTAACTGACTCTATACTGACATTTTAGTTGATTCTGATTTTGATTTAACAGTATAGATCAGAGGTCTTCAACAGGGGGTCTGTTTTATGTTCCCCCCTGCAATTGAAATGTCTTTAAATCCACATTAACATGAATTCAACACACTGTAGTAAACAGATAAATGAATCAGAATCAGAAATACTTTAATAATACCAGTGAGAAATTACTTTAATTACATGACTCCATCTGTAATAGTGACTATAGGACCAGTTTGATATAAGACAATTTCATACAATATATATAATCAGGGGGTCCCCGCTCCATCTCACCATCAGTTTGGGGGCCTATAGCTTAAATAGTTTTTCCTGTCAGCATGAAATAAAACGTATTTTCTTACAGTTAAGTTTCATAGAAAAATAAAGATTTTAAAAAAAGACTCCCTCAGAAATAGCCAAAAAATACAGAACATTAGAATTGTACAACAATAAATCTAGGTTATATATAGTTATAAGAACTAGGCCAGAACTCCTTCAGGGGAAGGTTAGCCGCTCACTGACTGTTTAACAGGCTTTAAATTCTGATTGTTTTCTTTGTGGCCCATTCAAACTAAAAGCTGATATGTCCTAGTTTATATTCAAGAAAAAAAACCTCTGATATGTTAACCTGTTATAAGACCTAATCGTGCCAAAATTTTGTTTTTTTAAGCGTTTGACTATTTCATAATACTGATCTTTAGCAAAATCATGCACAAAGTGGTATTTTTACAAATCCTCATTAATTCTGCTAACTAAGCAGTAGCCCCTTATTGTCCTGGGAAAATGAGTGGTTGGAGAATATCTTCGTAACAGTGCCTCCTTCAGGAAGCAGACACCCTGACCGCACTGCGCCTGCACTGCAAACAAACACCCACTTTCTCCAATCAGGAAGGGGTGATGCGAGGCACCGACGAGAGAGCGCTCTGCACCAAGCGCCATTTTGGTCCGCTTCCTGTTGACGGATGTTAACATTAGCACACCTTGCTATTATCAGTCGCACCTCTGTTCAACCAAAAGGGGCACCAATCAGGGACTCACCTGGGTGTGCTTGTTTAACTTTTCACCTATTGTCTAAGAGGCAAAGAAATGATGCTAAACATAAGATGGCTAATTGCTTATGTTGCTAACGCTACATTAACATGCATGCATGTACACACAGGTTAGATTCTCATGTGTATGCTTGCTAAAAATCAGAACATGGGAGGAAAGTTGTCTGATTGAGTATCAATATTCTTGTATTTAAAAACAACATGGTGGCTTTGAGTGTTTGGACATGAAAGTCAAATATTAAAACTCAAGCAAATGATGCTAGTCTTGTAAACCAGCCCCAACGGCCAGCGGCCAAAATCATTTTTGCTCCGAGTGGTGTAGCCTCGATTAATGCCCCAGGCCCTAGAACTGGCGGGCCAATCACAACGCAGAGATGTTTTTTGAATTTTTGTATGCAAAGAGGGCGGGGTTTTGAGGGCATGACAACAAAGCTGTGCAATGCTGGAGAAAGCACAACAAGGAAGATGGCAGCAACTATTGAACAGTTATCGTTTGACTCAGCTTTGGAATGAATTCTCTTTCGTTGAAAACCCCAAAATGTGAGCTCATTCATTTCTGAGAAGAACGTATTCGCAGTTTTACCGACATGTTGTTTGTTTACACTTCCCCACCAGCTTTCTGTCACGTTTACTACGTCACAGTCAGTTGCGCTCATTGGTCAGAGCGTTGGCCAATAGGCACAGACATGGTTTGAAAAACAACGGGTTGTTCTCATCAACAATCTTCTGATGTCTCATTCATCGGGGCCAGACTAAATTACACATTAATCTCACATTTAGTCTGGTTTATCAGGCTGAAATGATACCTGTTTTGCTTCAATTTGGATTAAATTACAATAATTTAAAGAAACACATTGTTATTGTTTCCATCCAATGTTGAAAAGGATCAAACATCTAATTTAAGTTTCACAGACCTCTGCTGAAAGATGTGTTTTACTGCTAAGCTCTGAGGATAATTAAGTATGTGCAGAAAGAGCTGCTTGGTGAATATTTACGCTGAGGGTATTCAGCCATCTTGCTTGACCTGTGACCGCCGAACAATGGGATCTTTGTTGGCTGGCACTTAATCAGAACCATGGAAGCGGACCCTTATCCTGTGAAATTTAAGTCAAATTAAGAAGGCAAAGTGAATTGGACTTGACAAGAGCAATAAGGCCGTATTACAGGGCTAATCATAAGGCGTTTGTGGCAGTGAAAAAGCTTCCTGCTTCAATTAGGCTTCAGAGCTGCATACAGGGCTTCGTTCTTCTGACAGCTGAGCCAACAAACAAAAAAATGGGCCACAATATTCCCTGTAAAGGGACACAACAATTTGTTATTCTTGTGTGATGGGAGGGGGAGAAGGATGCATGAGGGGGGTGTTCTCAGGTGCAGGGAGAGGTTGATAACAGGGAGGAGACAGAGCGAGGAAAAGAAAACAAGGCTTGTTCCTGGAAATGGGGTTAAGGGAGCAATGAAGGGAGGCATGCAGCAATGCGGTGTGAAAAGAGAAAGAGGGGCTTAAAAATAAGCAATCACCCGTGAGGCACCATCTAAAGGATTTATACCAATCTGCTGAGGAGGAGATATCATTATTCCCTGCTCAAAAATTTGGCTAATTGTCCACATTACTTGATCAAAGTTTCTGCTAAGATTAACAATAAAAAATTAAGAACAATTACAAATAATAGACGCCTTGAAATGAAATTAATCACACTTTATCATCCAAAATGCTGCTACTTTACTAAATAAAACCTTTTCTCTGTTAACACTGATGAATCAAATTTACAGCAAATAAAAAACATCCCAAATTATACTTCCTATAAACTCAAAGGGAAACAAAATTATTTTACAGAGAGGTCAGCTTTATCAGAAGTAAGTCCATATTGATTAAATGGGGTCATTTTTGTATGAATTAAAGGAGCCCAGATGATCTCATCAGTATTGTTGTCTCTAGTTTCTCTTATCTCTTAATTGATTTTCTATACCTGAATGAATCACTGCAGGGTTTATGTCTTAGGTTAGTTTAACCCATCAAACAAACTCTGTTCCTAAATGTCTATTCTTTCATCAGTGTAAGCAACTTCTGCTGGAAATGGAAATAAGCCTTTTTATAAAACTTAACAACAGACAGAAGAAGGATGAATTAGTATGGAAGACATCTGGATTTACTTTGAACATAATGAAACATCAACTCCCTGATCATCAATAAGCACATTGGAAAACAAGCACCTCTGTTTCATTCCTGTTAGCCTGACCTCCAAAAGAAATTCAAGATGTCCGACTTTACCGATGCTGTCCTGTCTCAGATAGGTCTGCATTTGATGGCTGACATTCTTAAATTAAAATATTATTAATATTTTTTTAAACAAGTGTCTTGATATGAGCAGGAAAGAAAAGCTATTTAACAACAGAAGATGAGGATTTGCACTTAAAATAAGAAAACAACTAATTCAGTTATTTTAATTTCAAATACATAATATGGATTTTCTATATTGAGAGGGAAAAGCACTTTTTATAGGGAGATAATTTGAATCTCAAATTAAGGGAAAATTTACTGCTTTCAAGAATGTTTTACTTATTTTTAGTTCACAATCAGCAGATTCTCTACCACATGTTTTCCTTCCACTTAAAGGTATAAAGGAGGATTTTTGCACACAAAAAAACAGTGCACATGCACAACCCTGTACCTGTTCCTGAGAGGGAACACCTATTAAACGCGTGCATGAGCCCAGTTCTCCTCGTGCACGCTCTGTTTAAAAGTTGCTGTTTGCATCACTTACTTGCATACAAGCTTACTTTCCAAAGGAATATTTGCAATTTTTCCATTAAGTGAGACACACCACAGGTAAATGAAAATGGGGAAGAGGACGTAGGAAGGCCTTAAACATATCACCAGGATGATTGACAGTTAGGAGGACCACTTATTTTGATGATCCACCCAGAAAAATAAAATCCTCCACTATACCTTTAAGAGGGAAAAATACTTGTTTCATGGGGAGATCATCTGAAGTACCAGCTCAAAATCAGGTAATAATACACCAATTTCAAGAGTGTTTTACTTATTTTTAGTTCAGTATCAAGAGAGAAAGGTTTCTCTACAAGTTTTCCTTTCACTTAACTTTATATTAGTGCGAATGCATGCATGAATGCAGAGAAAAAAATTATTATTTCCAGAGATCTTTACCTTTTCTGTAGAGAGTGACAATCAAAGGCTACGTTCCCACTGCAGGCCTTGATGCTCAAATCCAATTTTTTTGTGTTGCCGTTCACGTTTCCAAATATATGCGACTTGTATGTGATCTCCTGTGTGTCATACAACGCAAGTGTCTCGCATGCGTAGTAGAGGACGCAATTACATCATAGGATAACCTGCTCTGTGTTTACAGAAGTAAACCGTTCAGACACAGGTCGCATTTGAAAAGATCAAATTCTTCGGATTCAGGACCACATAGCCAAGTGGCAGACGTCGCTTTCTGAGCTGCAGGGGACTTTTGATTTCCAGACGTTTCTAAACAGAGCCAGGAGGGTCGCGTTACTGTTCTCGCTCAGAGGTGCTTATTAAAGCGAGGTTTTGGGAAGATAAAAGTGAATGTTCATATCTGATGGTTTTCTTTGCACTTTTATCACAAATGTTTCCAACAGCAAAGAAAAATGATGTTCTTACAAGAGATAGGTCCTCTGTCTCGGCTCCCAGGGGCCGACTGAAGTCCTCGGTGCTCAGGGGAAGACTCCTCACATCCTCCTCCTGTTGACTAGGATCCTCCTCCAAAGTGGGAAAAACGGAGAGCCCCCCCACCTCGGCGTCCACCATGCCATCCAAACTGTCTGTCAGAGCGGCCAGCAGAGCCGCGTTCTCCTCTTCTATCTGCAGGGAGACCAGAGGGAGAATGGTGAGAGAGGAAAATACAGCAAAACCACAAAGAACAGTCAGAAAAGACAGGAAACATTTATTCTGTCAACGTTTTTGGAAATGCAACAATTAATCAGTTATTGACGGGAACTATTCCCTTGTTTCACAATTTCTGATCTGATAATGAATCCATCAGTGCCCACAAAGTGAATGACGCTGCCCTGGAGTACGTTCGGTTTGAAGATGGAGACCATGAAATCAAACCGAGTGCTATCACTCAGAGACTGACACTTCACCAGATAATCACAGCAGAATCAGTGCTTATGTACCCAAAACAAAGACCATTAATCTACTTTGTTTTCTTTATTAGAGGATTAAAAGGAATATCAATTATGTTTCTTCGGGTAATTTATCATAAAAGCAAAGTGCATCAAGCCATCCAAACTCTAGACGTGTCCCTTCATTTATTATCATACCCTACATTGCTTGTATTTTGGGTTGTCTACTTGGTATCGATAGGAACAGCTTCTAATCTTTCACTTCTCCTGGATACTTTCAAATTTTTATTTAAATTTTTCAGTTCCGGGCTGCTCAGTGGCGCAGTGGGTAGCACTGCTGCCTTGCAAAAAGAAGGTTCTGGGTTCGATTTCCAGCCCAGGGTCTTTCTGCATGGAGTTTGCATGTTTTCCCTGAGCATGCGTGGGTTCTCTCCGGGTACTCCGGCTTCCTCCCACAGTCCAAAAACATGTGTGTTAGGTTAATTGGCTTCTCTAGATTGTCCTTAGGTGTGAGTGTGTGCGTGAACGGTTGTTTGTCCTGTGTGTCTCTTTGTTGCTCTGCGATGGACTAGCGACCTGTCCAGGGTTTACCCCGCCTCTCGCCTGGAGATAGACACCAGCACCCCTCGCGACCCCAATTGGGACAAGCGTGTCAGATAATGGATGGATTGATGGATGGATTTTCGATTCCTAATTTGGATGCTCAGTCCATGGACCAGCATTGCAGCATTGTGTGAGCAACCATCTGTATGCAGCATTTAAACGTGTTGCTTAAGGTTAACCATAGAAATGACCAGTCGGGAACGTGCATGGTAATTTATTATGCAAAAGATGCTCATGTCATCTCTGTGTCTGTTTCTGTCCCCTTGAACCCCAGTTGGCCTTGGCAGGATCTGCTGGAAGTTTCTTCCTGTTAAAAGGGAGTTTTTACTCTCCACTGTCGCTACAAGCATGCTTGTTGGGAGGGATTGCTGGTTTTCCTTAGATAGAAAATGTTTAAAACTAAATAAACTGCAATGTAATTGAATTGATGGCCAACATGATTTAACACCATCTGCCTTATTTTTCTACATAGTCTAATTGTAACGAAAAAGCACCTTCAATCTATATCTGTCAGAATTGTCAATATTTTTTAAGTATAGCTTTATTTTTTCATTTATTTTTTTATTCATTTGGGACCCGGTTCACATGAAATCCACTGACTGAATGTCAAAATCTCATCGTTCCTCTGTCCACAGAAATAATCACTACTTCCATGTTGAACTGAGTGGAACTGAGGTGAGATGAATGATGTTGAAGATATAAATTGTTAGCATCATCCACCTGTTGCACTGTTTTTTCTACAGCTTCGACACTCTGCCTGGCACAGCAATCAGGTGAATAAAATAATTAAATGGTCTACTGTGGCACGACTGTAAGTATATATGTGTAAATGTGTTTTAATAAGGCTTTTTCCATGTAAAAGTGTAATCTGTGAAAATAAAATTCATAGGGTTGATATTTATTTAGTGGTTGATAACAACCATGGGATAATTATTAGTAAAGTCTATTTTAATCAATAGGACTGAATTAGAACTAAATTTTAAATATGCCCAATCCCACTGATATTCTTTATAGCTTGATTTCCCAAAATATCAACCAACAATGAAAACGGCACACCCCTAAAATACATAGAAATACATTCCTCTTAGCAATTATAATTACCCCAAAATACTTTCTAACAACATTTAATGAGCTAATTCAGCATATTAAATACAGCTTAGCTACTGAATATAAATTTTAGTTATTTATTAGTGCACTTCACAGCTTAATTGTATATTTAAGATTCGAACCATGTATTAGATAAAAAAACTTTTTTCATTTCATGCTACATTCATGTGTTTTATGATAAAATTGCAAACTCCATATACGTCAGGGTTCACATCACAATTATATTGAAAACCATCTTGCAACACCATCTAAGTGTTATGACCCCCCAGGTGGACTCGGCCCCCAATTTGGGAACCTTTTATGGAAAAATTTAACTTTTTTGTTCCTGAATCATTTTGTAGTGAAAAGCATCTACGTGGTTGTTTGTACACATATTATGCAGGACTGTGCAAAGAGTTCTTACTGACGTAATGACTTGTAGGTCATTAGGTTTGGAAGACCAACCAGATCTGAATCTGAATAGAGTAATTAGCGTTTCCGCCTGTAAAAAGAGGCTCTCAGCAGTTTAGTCCAGCGTATATATCCTCCGTCTTGCTGGAGACACTTCCCATGTCTTCACTAATTGAATAACAGCAACGTCCAACAACACAAAGGTGGAATTTTTTAACTGTAGTTTTTTTTTTACCTTTTCACCAGGTGAACCATTTTCTGTTCACCTGTGACCTTTAACCAACCATCTTGGACACAAATGATATAAACATATCAGGCCAGCCCACAGATAGCTATGCTTAAATGAGGCGTTATTGGACCTAAACAAAAATGTTTATCTGAATCATTTCAGTTTTTAGCTTTAACATTTTAAACTAAAATACTGTTATATGTTAAAGCAGGGGTCTTCAATGTTTTCTAGATCAAGGACCCCCAAACTGATGGCCAGATGGAGCGGGGACCCCCTAATTATATATATCTGTATGACATTGTGTTATATCAAACTGGTCCTATAGTCACTCTATTACATATGGAGTAATGTAATCAAAGTAATTTCTTCCTGGGATTATTAAAGTATTTCTGATTCTGATTCCTGGTTGATGGGACAGGTGTTGTGAATGAAACGGTGCCCAGCTTCAAAGAGCTCTTGCATGTCGCTGAATGTGTGCATTGATGACTGAAAGACATCTTCTGCCTCCATTTATCTGTTTACTACAGTGTGTTGAATTCCAGTTATTGTGCATTTAAAGACATTTCAATCAGTGGATAAAATTTCAGGGGGGGAATATAAAAAAATGCAGTACCTCGATGGACCCCCTAGGGGTCGCGGACCCCCCGTTGAAGTCCGCCGTGTTAGAATACTCTAATCCTGATAATGTGTTTCGCTTTTTTGGCACATCTGATTCAACCCTAAAGTCTTTCTGAAACATTGCTGCATCCTGCTATGTATGATTTGTTCCTTTTGTATCATGACCAAAGGGACCATACTGGAGATATTTAAAAAAGGATAAATTCTTCAGGCACGCTGGTGTGTGGAACTATCAGCTGAGTTATAATGAAGAAAAGTTGAAGATTCACTGTGAAAAGATAAAAAATTTATATTTCAAAAGGGAAAAGACTGGAATAAAGCTGGGAAAACGGTATGAACAGTGTTTACTAAGGCAGGAACTAATGCTGTAGAGTTATTTATATAGCACTAATTTACAAAAGGTCATCTTTAGGCTCTTTAAAGACACAATTCAATTGGGTCAGATGGGTTACGTTTTCCATCCAGCTGATTTCAACCAGTCATTGAATTTGCAGGATTCACTCATCCTGGATGAGCAAGTAGCGAGTGTAGACATTTTTATTTCACTTTGCTGTTGACTCTAAAGCAATCCTTCACACTGAGCATGCATGCAGCGACAGTGGAGAGGATAAGCTCCAGTTTAACAGGTAACCTCCAATAGAACCAGGATCAGTGTGAGCGGCCTTATGCCGATTATGGGTTCAAGGACAGAGAAGAGCCAAAGTTTAAGTCGTTGGGAAGTTGATGGATGCCTGAGTAAACATCCTTATTAATACTGATGCTAGTGATGGTAATGCTGTTCTTAATATTATTAAAACATATAAATATATTGAAATAAATGTGGGTGGTCTCTCACATCATGTTCTTAATCTGTGTTCATTTCAATGAAAAGGTTTTAGCCTATATATTTTATTGAAATAATTCTTCGCTTGATGCTGTTTTATCTGCTTATTAAGCCCAGTTCAGGATTTCTATTAAGGCTAAAAATGTATGTTCCATTCTTTTCTGTAAAAGCGTACACTATAAGACAAAATTCATTTTAAGTGTTGTTTAAATGAATGTCTGAACAATCAGTTTACATAGGCTAAAATGGGAGTTTTTATTTCTTTTACTTTGACTCCATGAAATTCTGGTTATTTTTCAAGGATTCAGCATAAAAAAAACAGAGGAAGTTTCAGACAAGACTTCAGTTTCAAATCTTTGCTTTTTCCTCTTTCTCTTCTGAAAGGGGTTATTTATTGTTAAGGTGACGCCATCTTGCTGAGAGCAGTGTCTGGGGGAGAGTTGATAGCGCGGCTGGCCTACAGGAAGTCGCTAACTTTCATTCATCTGTCTCTTCCGTTTATCATCCAGCTTCATCTGTCCCTCGCTGCCAAAGTATTTATCGTAAAATGTATTCACTGTCTCAGGCTGGCTGCCGCTCTTCCTCTGAGCTCAGAGCTGCTTTTCAGGATTTGGAAGAGGATAAAAAGCTTTAAATCACCTCCATAAACAAACCCTATTGCTCTAAAATAAACTTATTTAAAGAATAATGCAATTGCTATTTAATTCTATGAATATCTACTTATTCATATATTACTTGTGATATAAATTATAATGTTATACATGCCCTTCTCCTAAAAATGGGAAAGACAAGAACATTGAAACCAACAAAGGCAGATGTTTGTAGATTTTCATAAAATGTCTACAAAATAACTGGCTTAAATTGTTAATTTCTACAGTTAGAGCAATAAGAAGAAGTTGAACAGGAACTGAAACAAACAAGATTGGAAGAGAACTAAATATTACTATTCCACCCCTCATATATAAGTACAGGAAGGGAGGAAAATAAAAAATAAATCTCCAAAGTACACTGTTAGAGAAGAGCAACAAGTCTCAGCTTTGGTATCAAGTCTGTAAAAATATAAAATAATAACTCAATCATAAGAATGATGCTCTTTCCTGCCATCTCAAACATAAGCATGCAGGATTTTGCTAAAAAAAATCTTGGGATGTTGTAACCTGGTCAATAAGATTCATAATGCATAGCACTTAGTTCATCTGGGGTCCATCCAATCCATTCAGATAAAAGGTGTTTAGCTGAAACTTCAGAGCTAACTGGATGAAGCCAAATCCCGTACCCGCCTAGCAGAGTTTGGTTTTAGCCAATCTTAGTATAAAATAAAGCAGCAGAATACACAAGGAGAAATCCAAGCAAGTTACGATTTTGCATTTTTGTTGTTCCTCTTTCAAAGATGAAATCATGGATTCAGACAGTTTGACTGTGGACTTGGCAGCTCTAGCTTTCTTGACACCAGGTGGTGTCCTTCGGCCACCCCTATGACACATTTCTGTATTCCTCGCCCTAAACCCTAATACTACGACAAGAAGGGGGAATGGTAAAAGATGGTTTAGTGCGTTTGTGAGCTCACAAATATCATGATTTTATATATATATATATATATATATCTGCATCGGCATGTCATGTTGACTATGAATTGCAATGTAATGCTACAGGACTAATTTTCTTTAAAAGGGATGCTTGGCATCATGAGACAAAGTCTGTGAAACCAGATAGAAATTTACCTCCAAATAGTAAAAAAAAAAGAGGAACAAAAATTGTGTGACTTATAACTAAATGTATAAATGCATCTATATATTGGTACCATTAAAAGTGAAATAATTACCTATTATTGCTCCAACCTTTAAAAACAATCTCTTCGTTTTAGTTTCCAAGGTTACATTGAGTTGGGCCACAGAAATGCAATCAATAAATTCCAACATGGGATTAAATTCCTATGTGCTGCTATAAAACAAATCCTATTGGCAGGAAGCAGAAGCACTGAAGATACAGTGACAGTAGCTTCATTTGTGCTCCTTATCACTGCATTCAGTAGAGATAATTAAAAGCTGCTGGACCGTCTGCGCCACTGTTTGTTAGGGAGGAGGAAAAAGAGTGCTTTAGCACAGAGGTTAGGAAAGCTAGGCTGGATTAAGAACACTGTAAAGCTTTAAAAACAAAATCACCAAATGAGTAAATAAGATATATATTAAAAAAAAAGATAATCCTATAAAACGAATCCATGGATCTCAGATTAGAGTAACCAAAGTGATATCAGAAAGCTTTTTAAACTTGTAACTATAATTTAATGCTATTCCTTTGACAAAATAATACACAAAGTGTTATTGTGGTTGATTTATATTGTCTGAACAACTTTCATAAGTTTGCTGTCTGAGCAGTAGCTGCTGCCTGTCCTGTGAAAAGCAGCAGATGGAGATTATCTAGTTAAAAGTGCCTCCTCCAGTAAGCAGCTGCCTTAACCATGCTGTGCCTGCACTCTAAACAAACGTCCACCTTCTCTGATCAGGAAAGGATGATGTTAGGCCGAGCACGTTGATTTCTGCTCACACTTATTATAAAAGGCCGCCTTTAGCAGCTAATCTGCACAAAGCAGCAACTTCTCTCTTTTAGCCAATTTAACTTGTAAAACGTTTTTTGTTTGATTCGACGACGCCATGAGATGAGCGGCATCCAGACAGAGAGTGGATCCTTCAAAAATTTCTACTGTGTAGTTCTAAAGGTGTTATTTGACCTTTAAAGATGAGATGGAGGCTTATGAAACTGGATTTTTTTAAATAATAAAAATGCATTACAGTCACAGAAATTGTTTATTTCCTCTTCATTCCCATCATGCTTTGTCCATCTTCATTTAAGCAACATGCTATGGTGCATCGCTGGATTACATGACCATTAATCTGTACACAAATTCTCTGTTATCTCTTAAGTGTTACTTTCGTGCTACATGAGCACTAAATGTATCCTTTGAAGTGCGACCTCAAGATCTTATAGGTCCAATAATCAAACATTGGCTGACAGATCCAGAAGAATCTACACGGCTGCTCCAACTCCGGCAGGACTTGAGAACTTGTCGCCCTGAAGGCTGTCGAAGCCCCTCACAGGATATCTGGGCCAGTCCAAACTCACGGACGGCCTCCATCATCATGTTACAAACAGTGTAAATTAGACGCTTTCTTGGTCGTGCCTTCGGTGGCCTGCTGCATGTCAAGTCTCAGGTAAAAGGTTGGGGGTCTTGGACATGTCAACAAACAGAGAAGCTCTGGCTGATGCAAAAGACCCTTCTGGGTCAACAACATCCAAAGCGAGCTGTTTAAGACTGGCAACAAAACACGGCACATCATTTATTTAATTAAATAACAACTGCAGCACAGAATCAGTATAAAGCAAGTCAATTTTCTCAGCAATTATACCTTTTTACACAAGATGGGTGGAATGAGTCACGTAGTTAGTATCGAACGCATCAAGAAAAGCTGCTGCAAAAAGCACAGAAATCCCAGAAAAATCACTCATATCTGTTAGTATTTAAAATAAGGAATCTCTAATCTTTGAATTGAATATGAACTGATTTGGTGCTAATTTGTGGACAATAAAAAGCTTTCTTATTATCAAAGTATTGCACACCAAGCATTTCATAATGGTTAAAAAGAAAATAGAGTGTCCCTCAATCTTATTGCTGCAGAGAGAGCATTGTTTCATCATGAGGAAGCTGGCCTTTACAAGATTACAGGCTGGGAAGTCTAAGAGAAAAATCATACGAGCTGTCCAAGAACTAAGGACCCCCCGAAGAGAGCCTCCAAAGGAGATCAAATTAGTAGAGCTTTCTGTAATGTACTCAGCTACAACGGCCTTTGTATTCAATTATGGCCTAAAGAAAAAGTATTATGATGCTAATTTCAAACACAATATTTTGACAAGTCAATAAAATATTGGAGGACAATCATCCAAAGAGGCTGAGCAGTCTGGAGGTGAGAGCATAGATAAAGACTTCCTGTAACTGAAGGTTGGATGAATGGAGAAGTGTTCTGACAAACCTGATAAGAATCATAAGAAGAAATGAGGGCAGCCTTTTAATCAGAGACTAGAGATGCACTGATCCAGTTTTTGTTCCCATCCAATCTGATACGATACCTGGCCAATATCAATCCGATTCAGCTGTTGACTTAATTAACCATAAGTGAAGGCGTTAGCCTTTATACGTATATAAATGTACTTTATATTATTTATTAACAAATAACCAGCAAAAACTAAGAATTAACTGTTCCATGTAAATGTATCAAAACACCTGTATCTGATCCAGCTTAGTGGTCAATATCGGAGCCGATATCTGATCCAGGTATCGGATCGGTGTATCCCTACAAACAAGTTAGCTTCAGAAAGAGAAATGTAAACTGACCGAGGTCGAGACAGTCAACTTTATTTATTTACCAAAGTGATTTTTATGAAACATCTTAATGCAACCATCAGACCTTTGTATACTGAAACAATAATTAGGTGTTGAACACCTGCTTTGCTTTGCTTTGAAATAGACAGTATAATTATTGATGAGAAAAAAATATATATCTTGTATAAAACCAGCTTGGATATGCAGAATATGAAAATATAAAGCTGAGAACAGGACTGGGAGGTAAAGAGTGGAGGATGGAAAGATATTATTGCAGGACTGTTGCTGCGATGATCAAACGCTCTCATTTAACAGAAGGAAATTACCTGGAAACAATGCAGTGTATATTTCAGTGGAGGTCTACTGCTGAAATAATCTGTAGCTTTTGGGTTTCAGATCATCTGGTAAACAGAGTCATAGAGGTAGCTCCAACCTTTAAACTCTTTTCATGAATCTGAGCCGTTGCTTTACAGGATCTTAACCTATAACAGCTGATGAAACCAAACTACGATAACGGCAGACTAAACTGATGCACCATTCCGTGACTCAGCTGCAGATTACATGAACCTTACTTTGGAGGTAAAAGCTCACCTCGAAGAGCTCATCTGCCGTACTGTAGTGGATGGAGGCGGGTGATACATCCGCAGGCTGATCGGTGCACCACTGCAGCTCGCTGAGGCAGTTGACGCTGTCGAAGTCGCTGGTGTCCAACTGGGAGAGGTCGATGTCGGGGAAGTCGGTGTCCAAGCGGTCTGAGCACACCTCCTCCTCCCCATACTGTAGATGGAAACAAAGAGGGAAAGTTAGCATTGGTAAGCACTGACATTTACACCAAATAGCCAGGCGTTACATCGTCACACACAAACAGGCCAGCCTGACTGCTGATCACAGATGGAAAGATCTCATGTGAGAAATGACCATGTTTTTCCCCCCTCTCCACTCTTTGAAACATTCCTCCAAATGAATGCTTTAAACCTGCTTTGCCTTTTTCTTTTAAAAGCAGTCAAAATGTTTGAACTTTAGCTAGTTCCCGTTTGGCTAAGCCATCGAAGATCTGCAGAAAAGCACTGCGAGGGACCTGGGAGAAAAACCTCCATCATGTGACCAAAACTGTATATTATCACACAGCTCGCTGTCTGAGTCAGAAGGAGCTCTCATCAACAGCTCTTCATCTCTCAACAGCCACTCATTAGAGATAATGAGACTTCCACTTTTAGAGGAGGTTCAACACTGACACCAACAGAGGCAGTCAGAAACCACGCCACGTACGCCGCCAGTTACTGCGAGGCTGCATTACGCCTTTATTCTGAAGCATCTCCCTGTGGCCCAAAGCAGAGTTACCCCGGAGGTCTTCAGGTGATGAGTTCTCCTTTGTTGGCTGACGGTGATGTTTATCAGTGAATAAGGCTGCATTGTGTTCTGTTTGCTTTTCAGTCGTGACCACGAATTCCTGATCTTCCTCTTGTTTCTGTGTTTGATTTAAGGTGAACTTTGAACGGGTTTTTGTTTTTAGTTCTTAGGAAATAATCAAGAAGAAAGAGGTGAGAGCGAACAGGCCACTAGTTAAAAGGCTTGATTTAACTGCATGTCATTTATTCTTAACTTATTGCTTTTCAACTCAAGTGAAGGCTCATGAAACTGATACAAAATTAAGACCAGTGGCCGCTCACAAGCCTTTGGTCCTCCCTGAATCCCTGAGAGCTAAAATAACCTAAAATGACCATCATATTAGGCCAAAACCTCTTAAGGAGGCAAACATCCAACAGAAACTCTTAGAAGTCGTTACACCTTACAATAAAATCCAAACCTTTGTAAGCAAGAAATTAAAGACCCAAGAATTCCCCCTTGAACACAGCAGATTTCTTTAACACTTAAACTAAATACTGGACTCCAAAGATGCACATAAATCTCAAAAGTTTAGACGTTTCAAAAGTTAAAAACATTTTGATGACCAAAAACCACTTCAAGACAACCCTAAAACTCTCTAAGAACTTTTAACACATGTACAACACATGTTTTGCCATATAAAAATGAACAGTACAGTTCAAAACGCAACTCTTCATTAAACTTTTAGGTCAAATGCACCAACAGAACATTATCCAGACTAAAGAACTTCATAAAATGCCTCATTTGGGTAATTCAGACTTCCCTACAAAAGTGTTTCCCTTAAAAAACTCTTTAGCATAATAAGACAAGTGTAACATAGCCTCAAACGCTATGAAATGCACTGAGGAATCCTGCTGTTACATCAACAGCATCCAAACATCCCCTAAAAGAAACTGAATTGAACTCCAATGATACTTAGAAAGAATAATTCAGTCTTAACTTCTTCTAAAAAACATTTCCTCATGGCACCAGTGGCTCCATTAACACTAGAATTACGCAATCCAACATGTGTGTGCGTTTAACTTTAAAGCCTGTAGAGAATGAATGGGTCAACCTTCCTAGAAAACAAGAGATATATTGGAAGCTTTGAGCTTTCCAGAAAAGTTTTAGTTTGCTTTACATAAATCCTGACATATGATGTTCACCTAAGAACATATGCAAATCTGTGTCAAACTCTAAAACACACAGCATAACTTATAAAACTATTACATGCAGCAACAGCAGCAACCTGCTCTGCAGTGAGCACATGTGGTTTCAGACAGAAACCTTTTGCCACGTCACTGTGAGAGCCGCATTAAAGACGAGCAGGAAGCCGGTCTACGTGACTTGCTGCGAGGGAAATAAAACTGAAGTCTCCTGGGGTAGGCGGGAGGGTGCAGGACATTTCAAGTAAATGACTGGAAAAGAGAGGAGGGAACGTTAGAGGCGTCAACGGCGACAAGCACATCGTAGTTCAACCAGTCTTTTTATTATCAGAGTGACGCAGCAGCATTTGTTTACATCCTGGACATGTAACTGCAGATCTGAGAGCAGCTAGAGCTCCATGTTCTATTGTAAGTTTAATGGGGTTTAACGCCCATGCAAAAAAGGGCGTCTCTTGTCTCTTCTCAGACAGGGTTGACAGGTTAATCTGCCGTTAAGACCAAAGAGAAAAGACAGGGAAAAAAAATTAAGATTTTTTTTCTTTCTGGGATTCCAATCTCAACTTAAGGTGAACAGCGTTTAAGGGGGAAATTCTTGCATTTTATTTCATGGTGTCATTATACACCATGAAATAAAATGCAAGCAAAGATTTCCCCCCTTAAAGCATAAATTTAATGTAATACAATGGAGCGCTAACCAAACTTTACTTTATTTTCGCATTGAAAATGGAGGAAAAAAAAGAGATTTATATGAAAAATTAGGTCTCAGTTCAGTCATAAAGATAAGCAAAGATAACAGGAAGAAAAAATATGTCTTAAATATGATAATACAGACTTAGAAATCTGTTGTGATATTAGAGGCGATTTCTAGAAATGTAGCTCCTCCTGGCCAGTAAGTGGCGCCCTAGTGCTGCTGTTCTGAGCCGTTTGCCTGCTGGTTGCCAGGTCCGCTAAAGCTAATGCATTAGCAAACATTTTACTCGCCTATACGGAAAATAAGCAGCTACTTGTGAGAATTGTGAGCCCCTTGACTTCCTTTGAATGTCACAGATGTTTTTAACCAAGGGTTTTTGGCTTTAAAGGAGAATTCCGGTTTTTAACACTTTTAGCCCATTTTCTGTAGTGTCCAGGATGAAATCGAATGATCGACACCAAAATTTTGACAATTGGTCCTGTCTCTGCTTTTTGGCTCATTTAGAATCCACCCCTGGCTGCTTCAGAATGGCTTCCATAGTGCATGTCCGATAATGTCCTTAAAACAACCTTAAACGTTCTTTTTTTAAAATATGCTACTCACCGGGTCGTCAGCGCTGTTCAATGACGTTTCAAAAAAAGTTTCGTAAAGAAAAAACGTTCCTGTAGTGTTTTATTTAGCATTTTGTAAATCCCATTGAGTTCTGTAGGAATAGTCAATATTCCCCTGCCACCGGAAACGGAAATGGGGCCTGTTTACACTGTTAAACACTTTTAACAGAGACGTTAGCACCTCGACGTCGGAGTACACAGAGTGAAGCGAAAAGACTACAACTGTGTAAACAGGCCCCATTTCCGTTTCCGGTGGCAGGGGAATATTGACTATTCCAACAGAACTCAATGGGATTTACAAAATGCTAAATAAAACACTACAGGAATGTTTTTTCTTTACGAAACTTTTTTTGGAACGTCATTGAACAGCGCTGACGACCCGGTGAGTAGCATATTTTAAAAAAAGAATGTTTAAGGTTGTTTTAAGGACATTATCGGACATGCACTATGGAAGCCATTCTGAAGCAGCCAGGGGTGGATTCTAAATGAGCCAAAAAGCAGAGACAGGACCAATTGTCAAAATTTTGGTGTCGATCATTCGATTTCATCCTGGACACTACAGAAAATGGGCTAAAAGTGTTAAAAACCAGAATTCTCCTTTAAGTAAAAAAACTATAACAGTGAGAAGAAGCCATTTTTCTGCTCTATCAGGGAGCTATCAGCATTTGACCATACATACGCTCCGTCTCAAATGAATTTATTTTACTAATTGGACTGCCACAGAATCTTTTTTATGCATTGCCATCATTATCAGAAGTAAATATTTTGGACCCGTCAAATTTATTGAACAATTATTTATGGTTATTTTCAGTCAAATTAATGCTTCTATTCTCCACCACTCCAGATGTCCTGTGGATAGGGTTGCCAACTCCCCTACTTTTTTTAGCCCCCCTTTGTGAAATGTTTTTTTTTTTTACTATTTGACTCAAACCTGCATTGAATTAGATACATATTTGTGAGTTAGAGAAAAAGCGCGCCATGACACCGTGCTTTATATTCTTTATCAAAGACTTTATCCGTCCAGGTATTTGTTCTTTCCCATTTCTCCCTTTATTTCTGCATCCTTTTTTAATTTTTTCGGAGGAGGTCTATCGCCATGCGAAGGTGCACCTCCCCCAAAAGCAGCGTCAGCATTTCAATTACTCCGTTCATGCTGCTCCGTGAGCAACATTTGGCTCGACCAATGGGATGAGGGTATTCTGGATCGTTACATATATGTTGTCAGCTCATTGGTCAAAACACAGGACAGGGCACGGGAACAAGATTACCGTAAGTTTTGTATCTAACGTGCCCTTGTTTTTCATTTTCCATTAGGTTTTTACCGACTATTTTTTTACTCTCACAGTAATACGGGACAAAGTGCGTTCCTTTTCCACTAAATAAGAGACAGGTACTTCTATTTCTAAATACAGAATAATTAAGTTTTTCAAGGGACAGTTCGCAAACCTACTTGTAGATGTATTATTTTTGAAAAAAAATGTAAGTAATTGCTGGTCTCCTGCCCTAATTAAGTTTAAAAGCAATTGAAAATGTACTCAGCAAAGACAATCTTATTGATTTACTGTAAGATATCAGTGATATTCTCTTCCACTCAAACCCAGGCTCCTCTCTACAAAGCCATTGTGCTTATTTAGAATGCATGAACACTGGTAGAAATCAACCACCAGACAAACAGATTCATTACCCATCAACATTCGGCCATCATAATTCATCATGTTTTCTTCTGCAATGCAGTATTTGATAATCAGTCATTTTTTTCCCTCCAGCCTGCAGCCTCATTACTTTGTCTTCATGGCTGTGTTTGAAATTACTCGAAGCTTATTGGTTAATCTTTTCTTTCACAGACCGATTTAAGTGGCACTTTAAATACCCTTTGCTACTCGTGATTAACGTAAATCATATTACTCCATAACAGCTTATTTTCTCTCTGATATGTTTAAGAAT